GGGGGAGCTTAATAGAAACCCCCAGTGATTATTATTTATTTAGAAGGTGTGTGGTGGCTGAGATCAATCATCAACCCAACCCCATGTGATATACCAGAGTAATGAGTACTGAACCCTCCAATCTTCATTCATTAATGAGGAGATAATGAACATTTACCACCTCCTCATCTTGTGAATGAACAGGAAGTGATCTGTACTGAGCACTCCAGTGTTCATTCATTGATGTGTAAATTATAAACATTTACCACCTCCTCATCTTGGGAATGGACAGGAAGTGATCTGTACTGAGCACTCCAATGATTATATTTATGAAGAAATAATAAACATTTATCACATCCTCATTTTTTTTGACCCTCCACTGGAGACATCAGGCCGGCACCCCGGAGCAGAGCAGCAGCACAGAGTATGTGGCAAATTCATATACTATTCTGCATTGCTGTATAATGTATTTTAGGTATTTGTAAGAGTAATTTTATGCACCCTCTGGCAAAAGGTCTCTTTATAAAGAGGTCAACACTCAGGGTGTAGTCCGGCACAGCGAGATTAAATGCACAGGGTCTGAGGGCAGCAATCCGGTACAGAAATGGTTAAGTCCACAGGGTCTCAGGGCAGCAGTTCTGGCACAGAAAGGGTTAAGTCCTCAGGGTCTTGGGGCAGCAGTTCTGGCACACAAAGTGTGAAGTCCACTTCTACTGTGGTGGTAACCAACCTGCTTCCCTATATATAATGGTCTGGCCCTCCAGCAAATTTGCCTACAAACGTCAGGTGGCCGTAATAATCCGGCCACTCAGTGTATATAATAATCCGGCCACTCAGTGTATATAATAATCCGGCCACTCGGTGTATATAATAATCCGGCCACTCGGTGTATATAATAATCCGGCCACTCGGTGTATATAATAATCCGGCCAGACGGTGTATATAATAATCCGGCCACTCAGTGTATATAATAATCCGGCCACTCGGTGTATATAATAATCCGGCCACTCGGTGTATATAATAATCCGGCCACTCAGTGTATATAATATTCCAGCCACTCGGTGTATATAATAATCCGGCCACTCAGTGTATATAATAATCCGGCCACTCGGTGTATATAATAATCCGGCCACTCGGTGTATATAATAATCCGGCCACTTGGTGTATATAATATTCCAGCCACTCAGTGTATGTTTGTTTGTGTTTTGATATATATTTAAAATAAATACACTTTTATGAAAATTTGTTGCATACTTTGAAATAATGGTGGGATCCCCTTTTCGGGAAAAATTGTGTTTTTGCTAGTAAATATAATAGGGGACCCGCCATTTAAATTGAAAAACTCTTTGTTATATATTTTACAAACCTTCCTTTCCCCCTATTTGTATGCTTTATAACAAGGATAAACATAGATAGACAAAGGTCGTCAGTGAGAGAGAAAAACTGCAACAAGAAGCCATTTTCCTGAGAACGCTTAATAGTTCCTGTTCAATAAGGAATTTGTGAATGTGCAACAACCTAAGCCAAGTGACTTTTTTAGTGTACCCTCTTATAGAAACTAGGGATGCGCAGATACTTTTCGAGTACCAGTGCAGATACTCGTGAGAACTACCGGGGTTGCAGCGGTTGCAGCTGGGACCCGGCTCTGGCGCTCCACCACTGCCCTGAAATCATTAGTCTGTATTGTTTTAGAAAAACTGTCACATGACAATAAACAAGAATGTATCAGTACTCGTACTTGTAAGTACCCGGCAAGTACCAGTACTCGTACTCGAAAAACTGGTATCTGTGCATCCCTTTATTTATATTTATAAAAACTAAATCGTACATTAAAACCGAGATGTACAAATCCCGGGAGCTCCGTGTGCTCCTTACAAATGACAGCGGCCTCTCAACTTTTTAATTTTTCTCTAGTCTAGTCTTGGAGCTCAAAAGTATCGGTACTTGTACTCGTGCTTGTACCGAGTACTGTACTTGGTATCTGTGCAACCCCAATAGAAACCATTGTATGTGCTTGTACAGCCCTGGCAAATTGGTTACAGCAATAGTAAACCATCCCCATTGTTTCTTCTTGGCAAGCTCAGGATCTTTTCTTTTGTTGCTACATTTCTAGATGAACCCTATAAATCAGTGGTGTAACGTCAAGTCCCACATTTGTCGTTGGTCATTAAGTCATGACCCAAGTCGAACTGCACTGGAATGCACAGCATTGTGGTACCGTGCGTTCTGGTGCAGGTGATCAAACTCTAGGCGGGAGGTGCGTTTGGGGTGACATTCAAACAAATGGCAATGCAACGCACCTCCAACACTAGGATGTGCGGTAGATGCGATTGCATGGTACAGTGCATTACACTAGTACCCTGCATTCATTGTACAGGACTGTGCAATTGACGCAGGGTACTAGTGTGAACAGCCCCTCGAAAAACACTGACAGACACACCCAACCACAGACACAATCTCACACACTCACAGACATTCTCACAAACACATATACACCCCAAACAAGGAATGTTTCTTCTTTTTTTAAGATCTACCCAGTCTCCCTACCTTATGCGAACTGGAGCGGATCCTTGGCCCGGGGTCCAGTGTGGGCTGCGGTGCTGTGACGGAGCTCAATCCATATGTGCATTTCTTGTACAGCTCCCTTGTGCACCCTGTAGAGGTACTGGGAGCCATAATGTGACATCACTCTGATCCAGGCACCTCTACAAGGCATGTGACGGAGCTGTCAGCAATGCACGTATGGATGGAGCTACCTAGCGGCCATACCTCAAGCTGACACTTGGCGCCTGGCAGTATATTTTGAATAGCTACTTGGTGTGAAAACTGACAATGCTGTGCTAGGGGGAGGTGGAGGTGCTTCTCATCTAGCGCAGTGGAAGGCACGCAGCTACCCACTGAACGTGGGGTTGCAACCGACTTTTGAGAACCATGGCTATAAATGATCTTCAAACTCCCCACATAACTGTCCATCCACTTGTTTATCATTTGGATTTTTCATCCGAGTGTTTTGTATTAGCTATAAATTCGGTCAGAGATTCAATCACTGGAGATGAAATCACCAACCCATGGGAATGTAGAGCCGACAGATTTATTAGGATCAAACTATTTTTACATTAGAATGTCGTACAAGATATGATACAGAGACATGATGATATTACAAAGAAGAAAAGTGCAGGAAACTTAGAATTATATGGGAAGCTGTCGCCCTGGAGAAGTATCCTGAATGTTATATTATACCACAGAGGTTTAATCTGTATTAAAACTTTAGCCTTAGATTTGGTGAATGGAGAACATCAAGAAAAATGGAAGGACATGTTACACAGGTTCCCTAGAAAAGTCTTGATTGATGGATTCATCGATTACCTCCCTCTGTTTATAAACGCCAATAAATACAAAGACTGCACAACATGGATTTAAATGGCCGCATCAGTCCCTTTTATTAAGCAAACCAACGTTAACAATAACCAAAGTAATAAACACAATAATATACAATAAATAATCTTAACAACTGTTTCACCTGAGAAGGGGTCTTTGGGTGCCCATCAGCCCAAATAAGGCCCCTGACTAAAAAACTGCTCCCATGTCCCCAGCTGCTCCCCAACCAGCTTGAGAACAGTCACTGCTCTCAAGTTCAAAGTTGCAAGGGTGAAGTCCAAAGTTACAGCGCTTGCGGGGGGGGGAATTGGGGGGAGGAAAACACACACAAAGGTCTCTAGGGTAAGGTGTGCAGCTTCTTGTTTGTATGGACTGGCGTGTCCGCCGCTGCCATTTGGGTCCTGCTCCGCCGCCCTACCAGCACTCTCAGGCAGTACCACTGGGACACGACACCAAACAAAGAAGAAACT